GTTAGACACGAAAGCATGAAAGTACACATCTCAAGAGGGGAGATGTGGGCAACACATGTGCTCGGGCACCACATGTGCTCAGCCACGTGGGCGCAAGCACCACATGGGCTCAGGCAGCATATGCGCGCCCTTCCTTTGTTCAAGGTGGCCTTTATAGGGTTTCTCCAGCCTGCCCCCACGTGGGGCTTCTTTCCAGGTAAAAGTTCGTTGCTAAGGAGGTTACCAGGGAGGTCCAAAAAGAGGAATTTCATGGGGAGGCCTATATCCTGAGGGTCTGCAGATGGTCTTATCAGGCCTTTGTTTTCTGTATCCACGAGTTGGGTCATTCCTAGAATTCTTCTTCCATTGCAAAGGGCCTTTCCCTATCTACCTGCCTACATCATCATGATGATTAATTTAAAAGAAAAAAAGATTTCCTGGCCCAAATCTGGTGCTGACATCTCTAGTGTCATTTTTTTATCTTTTCTTAAGCAACCTGGATAAAGATCTTGTGCTTGAGGGCCCAATTATGAAAATATAGACCATCATTGAAGTCACCCTCCAATTCTGGATCCTTGGCCAAGGACTCAGTTTCAGGCTGAGATAGAGTAGGATTGTATTTAGTTTGAAGTTTTGTCCCTTGGGAGAAAGTACCAGAGTAACATTTCACTTAACTCAGTATGTGTTTGTGCAGGGTCTACTGATTTCCAACTGAATTTGTTAATCCCCTAATCAACTCTGAGAAGAGGAACAACATCACCTAATGATGTTCTCAATCTAAGGCTGATGATAGGAATTCTGTAGAGCAAATAGTCTTCTTTCAGTCAATATTGTCATATCTTTGTTCTACATTTTTGTCTTATTTCCCCCAATTCAAATACAACCCACCAATTTTTTTTTGGTAATTTGTTAACAATTTTCTGTAATGTTTTTGTTTGTGCTAAAAATCTTTATGCCTTCTTTTCAATATTGGTGTTACCCTTTGTTGAGTTGTTTCAAAAGAGGTTTTTTGTATATTTGTTTGAATATTACTTTATAAAATATGTACTTTTCCATATACAAATTGCTCCTTTTTGTTTGTATGCAAGAAATGCATCATGACAAAATAGGTTATTTTCTTTATTTTTTATTTAACACAAAATACAAATTAGATACAAATTTCCAACATTAAATACAGAACTTCAAGAAATCTCTTGAATCTTGACTAACTCAGTTCTATGCAGTACACAGTTTCAGGCTTACAATTTCAGTTCACCATCTGCACAAAGGAGAAATACCCATTCTGTTAGACACTGCAAGAACGCACAGAGTTGGGTCAGTCATCAGGGAGATAGAAGGGGAGAGCCACTCTGTATTGGCCAGAACTCTCAAGTGGAATCTAAAACTGTGAGTGTGGTTCCAATGTTGCTTTCTAGTTAATCTTGAACACTTAAGGTTGTGTCAGGCTATAAAGAGATTTTGTTTTCCTTCCTCAGCTCTTACTCAATGAATCTACATTGTAGGATTTTTTTTTCTTAATTCGACTTTTCAATCCCAGAAATAGTTCTAGCTTTCTGTGTAGTTACTGTAGGAAATGTCTACCAAAGTCCTGGTGAGTTGGTGGTTGGAGAAGGAGTTTGTCACTAGTTGCTTGATCACAAAAACAGTATTTATTTTGGAGGGTCAGTCACCTTACTCCAAATCATTAAAAAAAATAACAAACTTACCTAAACTAACATTCTGCAAGAAGTTATTTTTATTTAAGTTATTTTTATTTAAGGCATCAATTGCATGTTAACTCCATTGGCATTGGCAATATCTAGAAGAAAGACTGGTTAGTCAACTTCTGTGTAAACATATTAGGTTTTTGCTTGAAAGGTATTCTATGCATATTCATGGCATATAGGAGAGGTATTTATTCAATATGTGACAAAATTGGTTCAATTCTTCTTGGGAAATGATTTGTAACTTGTTTGAAAAGATTAATCTCTTTTACAGGATCCAAAGTTTTTGGATAGTCACTTGATTTTGAAAGGGTGTTTCAATTTCAATGTTTCTGAAGTGACTGCATCTACTTTTGCAAGGGATAATCAATACTATGTATGCAAGGTGATCTTGGTCAGTTACAGAGGGTTGTTACCACAAATAAAAAGATGAAAAATAAACCTCAGCAATTATAAAGATGAGATGTCTGTGAGATTAGCTGGAATAACAGATTCATACTATGTCTGATCAGTGTAACATCCTCAATTATAAATATTGCTAAGGATATTTGCTGGTCTAATATTACTGAGAAGTACTTTGCGATAGCACAGCGGGTAGGGCGTTCGCCTTACAAGTGGCCAACATGGCCGACCCGAGTTCGATTCCTCCGCCCCTCTCGGAGAGCCCAGCAAGCTACCGAGAGTATTCGATATGCCAGACACAGTAACAACAAAGCCTCCAATGGAGACGTTACTGGGCCCGCTCGAGCAAATCGACGATCAACGGGAGGGCCTTTACCTTTTTACTTTACACAGCTCTTCACTGATCTCTATTTAAGGTGAACTTTGCCATTTGCCTGCATCCATAGCTACGGAATAGACAGATATTCAAAGTAACACATTCTCTGCTATTTAGGAGAATTTGCAAAGAGAAAAGGTGGGAATGAAGCTGAGAGATTAACCTCTCACGAGAAGTGCTACACATCTCATACAGATATGATTTGGGCAGTGATTCCCAGTCATAAAATGGCATGAAAATTCAATCTGGAAAATCAATAAAAGGGAAGTCGTAATGTTAAAAGTAGGATTCGAAGTCTTAAGCAAAGAATGAGTGCTGCTTTATTTATAGAATCCATTATTCTTGAGAATTCATGAAACCCTGGTGAATCAATGGGAATATTATGAGGAAACTGAAGGCTGTACACTGATGTCAAGTTTGCCTCTAGTTTTCTGAGCCTACATCCTATCAATCTAGTCCCAGAATGAGAAAAGAAAAATTACTGGAGGTGCTTTGTTTTAATTTATGCAATCACAATCACAAATCATCCTGTTATTCGTCGATTGCCTCAAGCAGGCCCCAGTAACGTCCCTTTCATCCTAGCCCTGAGATTATATTCAAGGCTCTTTAGGAGAATGAGACCCATCATTCTTACTGGTATTTGGCACATTGGGTACGCCACAGGGAGTTTGCCAGACTCTGCCGTGTGGGCAGGCTACATTCGGTAGCCTGCTAGTTTGTCCAAAGTAGGAGTGAGATAATAAGATGCCATAATAAGATGTCGCGAGACCGTGAATGCGAATGCAGCCGCACGGTTCCAGGAGCTGGTTTTTATAGTCTCTGAGTCTTGGCCCTTGATGGGATTACAGGGTGACAGGGGGCCAGTTGGTGGGTGTAACACCCGCCTACTGGAATTTGGAGGATCTGGGTGGAGGATGCTCGACCCCAATTTGAGTAGGCTTGGAGATCTCGGCCCCGGAACCCATGTGGCTTTGTCCCTCTGCCAGTACCTTCATGTGTGCGGAGAGTGGTCTCAGCATGGTGGTGGCTGGTCCTGGAGGTCTTCGGCTGCTGGAGCCATGGTCGGGGCGGGGAGGAAAGCTCAACCCGCTCCCCTCCAAGGGGCCCCGGCGAGGACAGCCAGGCGCGGGGGCAGGAGACTGCCTAATTTATGCAAAGCACAATTATATGGAGCGATAGCACAGTGGTAGGGCATTTGCCTTGCACGCAGCCAACATGGCCGACCCGAGTTTGATTCCTCCGCCCCTCTCGGAGAGCCCTGCAAGCTACCGAGAGTATCTCACCCACAAGGCAGAGCCTGGAAACCTCCCCGTGACATATTCGATATGCCAAACACAGTAACAACAAAGTCTCCAATGGAGATGTTACTGGGCCCGCTCGAGCAAATCGATGAACAACGGGCCTTAAAATCCTTCTCAAAACAGTATTACAATAATTTTTTATTCTTTGCCTCTTATCCATGTTGGAATTAAAATTCTCTCTCCAAACACGGTGGAAAGTTTGAGACTCTCAATTTATATCTTTTCTTTTTTATTTTGTTTTTTGGTAAATAAACACATATTTGAATTATTGAGGCACTGTGACTTACACAGTTATTCATAGTTCAGTTCAAGTGTGTAATGTTCCAAAATCAATCATACCACCAGTGTCAGCTTGCCTTCAACTACGAATGCAATGACAGCTCCTAGATCAGATGCATATCTGATTTGCATATTCTAACAATATTCCTCTTTCCAGTTGCTTTTATCTTTTCTTTCTTTTTTTTTTTTTTGGCTTTATGCATCACACTCAGCAATACTCAGGGGTTACACCTGTATCTGCACTCAGGAATTACTCTTGGCAGTGCTCAGTGAACCATATGGGAATTCAGGGATCAAACCTGGGATGGCTGCGTGGAAGGCAAACACCCTACACAGTGTACTATTGCTCCAGCCACTTCAATTGGCTTGATTCAAACTTTACCCAGTGAAGAAGTATGTCAGTATCAGAGCTTAACTGATAGCTTAGATTCTGAAGTTGAAGCAGGTAAAGGTCCTTGTCTGGCTTGTCACTTTTGGTAATTTATGGTATCTGTGCTAGCCATCCCAGTTTCTCTATTCAAACATTTATCTCCCCTGCCTTTGAGTTTGAAATGCAGCCTCATGAATCCCAGTATACTCTTGGTTCTTGTTACATAAATGATCATGTATCTACCAATTAGAAAATTATCTCATGAACAGAAGGATAAACACATTACTCTCTGGTGACCATCGGCACACATTGTCAAGACACTGTGTGCCTAGATGGTAGTCCTCTTAGCATAGTCAACGAGATGTCTGTGAGATCAGCTAAAACAACACTCATAGAATCGCTGATCAGTGTAATATTTTCAAATTCTTCTTAGGATGATACTATATTCTATACCATACACACACACACACGTACACACACCCCTTTTCACTCCAAAGAAATGGTATTTGACATTAAAATTGTACACCAACTCATTTCTAAAACACAAAGAGCAGAAAATATTTCTGCTTGGGGCATACAGGGTAACTTACTAAAGTATCGTAGTCCACCTGTGACTTCTCTCTGTTGTTGACACATTCCTGAAGCACATCATTATAAGAATCTAAAAGATAAGACACAGAAAAGATTGGTTAAAAGTATGTAATTGGTATTGAGAAATTAAACTAAGTAATTTCTCTTCGTAATGACTTTAATATTAATCATAGGTAAAGTCTGAATAAGATGTGTGTGCTACATGGGATCTCCATATTTTAGGTTTGAAGGTTAAAGAAAATGCTAGATGATTTTAACTGTGGAGTTAATATTGATTATTTCTCTCATAAGACAGAAATATTATCCTCATTCTATCACCACTGATACTGCTCCTAAATGTAGAACTCTTATTTTCCATCTGTACATACATAAACTTCAAAGGTGAACATGAAAGAAGGAAATAGTCCCCCACCCCCCCAAACACAGACCATAACAACCCTATGAGAAAAACAGCTGGGTACATAACTTTATTTTATATGAAAGAGGAACCTGGACCATTCATACTGGTACCACAATCCCTGAGAAGCAGTGTAATGAGCATAGTTCCAGGTAGGAGGGTGGTGAAGGTAGACTCATGTGTGCAGGTAAAGGCTGATGTATGATACTGGGAACTTACAGAGAAAATTGTAACAGTAAGCCTTGTGAGTACACTGAGAAAATATATTCTGAGGAAGCCATCTTTCTTTTCTCCCTCCTACTCTATTTTACTCTCGTTTTCTCATATCATGCTCAACACCAGCACACACACATTTGACAAAAACAATGCAGATTCTGATACAGCATACACAAAGACATTCTTCATGCTCTTCTTGAAAATCTGTTGCTTCCAAGGAATATGACCCATAACTATAGTGCTTCGCCCGGAAATAGCTGTTGTTCACATCTCCAAAATTTATGTGCCCAGAATCTGCTATGTGAAGTCTCTATAGATTGTTTAATAAAAAATGTCCATCCTTTTCATATACATTTTTTATCTACAGTGAGAAAATTTCAAGTACTTACCATATTCTTTATTCACCTGCAATAACAAGAAAAGAGAATAAGAATCAGATGTATAGCGTTCTGTGTATTTATTATTCACTTGGCATCTGGTCAAAAAACAAATAAGTTGAAAAATTCCATCAGCAAGCATGAGAACAACTATGGAAAAAACATGAGCATCTCTGGAGGACTTCCATTCAATCAATGCTCTGCAGTGGTGATGATCAAATTTCTAGATCCAAGAAGTGAAAAGATTTGGGGAGTAAAACCCTAATTCATCCATTTGATGATAATTGTGGATAGTCCCTGTAAAAATAACATTCAATATCTCCAATGGACACTATAATGTTTTCAGATATAGGATATTTATAAAATACACAAACCCAGAAATGGTATTTCTGCATGACAGGCAAACTTACCAGTCAATAGGAAGAACTGCTTTCCTCTCAATCAGTAGAATATTCACTGTCCCACAGTTCTTTCACATATGCTAAAGGGAGGAGAGCAATGATGAATCCAATGGAAAGCTCAACATTTACAAAACATTTTGGATGACTTGGAAAAGGAGCAGAGCATAGATGTGGTTCAATAAAGTAAGCAATTGCTTAATGTGGAAACTTGTACCTCCCAGGACAATAAGTGAAAGCAGAAAAGAAAACCAATGAGAGCACTAGAGAGAGTAATGGTTAGTTCAACTGGGATTGGATCCCTGAACCACACGACTTCCTCAGCATGAGCAGATGTAGCCCTGCAGTTTCCCAGGAGCTTCGAGGTTGGCCCTGGTTGGCCCTTGGGACACAAGGTTTAAGCAGCATCTCCTCTTTGGAATCCGCATATATCTGCTAGCTCAGTTAGTCAAGGATTATTAGGAGTGACCTCTCAAAGCCATGCTTAGTAGACTCAATAAAAAAAAAAGAGTCTAATCTTGGAATCATAGGCTGAATGGAGATAAAATGGATGAATGGAGATAATCCACATGATACTAAGGTACAGGCTATGGTGTAAATTTTAAATAATTGACTGTGTGACTACTTTTGCCAGGAATGAAACCCAGCTCAGGCTACCTTCTTATTAATCTTCTTTTTTTATTTTTTATTGTTTTGACTTTTTGGGTCACACTAATGATGCTCAGGGGTTAGTCCTGGCTATGCACTCAGTAATCACTCCTGGCAGTGCTCAGGGGACCATATGGAATGCCGGGGAGGGATGAACTTAGGTCAGATGTGTGCAAGGTAAATGCCCTCCCTACTGTACTATTGCTCCAGCTCCTGCCTACTTTCTTCTTGATGTCTTGATCAAACTTTTACCCTCTTTCAGACAAATAAAGGTTCGCTTTTATTTGACTTTCAATGGCAGGAAAATGCCCTTGAGACAATTATTCTACGATTTTCTCACTTATATAATACTCCATTTCTATACAAGTCATTCATACTGTCCACAATAATATGCTTAAATTCTGAATGTGTCATTAATTCAAATCGCATGGTTTCCCATCCCGTCCTCCTTTTTAATTGGCTTCTCTTTAATCCTGTGATAAATTGCCTACAGAGCCTCAGAAGACATCTAATGAAGGGACATGCATGTCAGTGGAAGACATGGGACGAGCATGTGCATTTGCTCCTCAAAAACAGGGAGAAGAGACACAGTGCCACGGGCACACAGCAAAACTGCTTACAATTCTTCTCTTTCAATGTTTGTAAAGAATAAACTAAAATGACCAAAACAAATACATGAAAGTTACACAGCTTTAGGGACAACATGACTGTTAAGGGAGAACACTAAGGTAATGATCATTTCTAAACCAAGTCTGTAGCACTGTCATAGGAAACCCAGAATCACAACTAGTCTTTAGGCTAAACTATGCAGGAATTTCTAAAAAAAAAAGCATGTAAGTATAGAGTAAGTACTATATTCTATCGAGCTTCGAATTTCTTCCTTCTGCAGGAAGGAAAAAAGAGTGAGAATCAAACTCTAACGTTAATAGTTGTCTAAGTCACTGGTCTTCACTCCTGAGGTCAAGTTAGAGATTTCAAATGCAAATGGAAAGGAAACTAGTGGATGAGTATTTCCTTGATGTGTTTCTCCTGTGCATTGAAATGCCACTTCCCATGTAAATACAGTGTGAGAGCTAAGGCAATTGCTTTGCATACAATAAATACTGGTTTATTCTTCGGAACCACATAGATCTCCAAGCACCACAAGGGAGAAAGACCACAAATCAGAGCAGCCCCAAAGGTGGAGAACTACTTTAGGTGGCCTCAATAAAAGGTTCCTGTGTCTGGCATATCGAATACTCTCGGTAGCTTGCCGGGCTCTCCGAGAGGGGCGGAGGAATCGAACTCGGGTCGGCCATGTTGGCCGCTTGTAAGGCGAACGCCCTACCGCTGAAGGTAAGGCTAGAGTAAAGAAAGAAATGGATTTTCTTATTCCAAAAAAGTCAGGGGTTGGAATCTATTGCTAGAGGAGAAGTTCTAGCATACAGTTTATGGGGAGAAAAGGTGCTTCCAAGAGTAAAGGTCTTCTTGAATCAGTCATCACTTAAGAAGATACTGATTCACTCAATGCATTCAGCATTGATATTATATCTTTCAGCTCCAAGGATCACTGGAAAACATGCTTCTGAATTGAACTAGAAAGGAAATCTCAAGATGCAATGTATGAATGTCAATGGAAAAGACAAACTCACCCTCTGGTGCTTTCACTGTCCTCATCACTTTCCCAGGCAATCATCCTTCGGGGAGTTAACAGTGGAGCTAAGAGGAATCAAGTAATGGTCAGTTTTTCTGGTCCTGGTAATAAGTGATCTTTTTGCTGCAGATCATTAACGTGGGAGTCAGAGGTGGTGGCAGCTCAAAGGCAACCGCACAGTATCTTTGCAATAAGGATGTGGGCACCAGACTGATATTCCCATGGCACATTGTGTTCCTCTGGATTCTGTTCCTAATGTTTCTGGTTTCCCAAACAAAATTTAATTAATAGTAAGTTATTTTATGTAATATAATGGTGACATATTACATTACATAATCATGTTACTTTGAGTTCTTGTGAATTCTGTTCCTAAAGTTTCTGCTGTTCAATCAAGGAGCATTTCTGTTTTGCAATAAAGGAGCACTTCCATGCTGAAAGTTGATAATGCTAGCAATTATACAAAACTATTTCCGTGTTTTCTAACCTCCTTAAACATTGATTGATAAAAGTGGCCACATGTTCATACAGTGTTTCCACATTATAAATCTATGACTGACCACAGTTGTATATCATAATGTGTTGGTTACCCTTAAGAATTTAAATGATTATTGAAAAATATACCTATTACTACTCTGATGTCTGATAGTTAAGATGAAACTCTCTGTCTCTCTGTAGCATAACTATTTTATTTATTTATTTATTTATTTATTTATTTATTTATTTTTCCTTCTTGGGTCACACCCGGCAATGCTCAGGGGTTACTCCTGGCTCATGTACTCAGGAATTGCTCCTGGCAGTGCTCAGGGGACCATATGGGGTGCTGGGAATCGAACCTGTGTCAGTCATGTTGGCTGCGTGCAAGGCAAACACCCTACCCGCTGTGCTATCACTCCAGCCCCGTCATAACTATTTTAAAGGTTGAAATTGGATACTTAAAAATACCTTGCACAGAGATTAATAATCCCAGTGAATAATTTTGTGATTATTAATTAATTATTCATAAATATGTAATTATAATAAATAATTGATAATTCCCAGTGGAAACACATGTCACTACTCCAGTCCATCAAACCTTCTACATTTTTTTCTTTTGTTTTTGGGATGAACACAGTTATTCTCAGGTGTTACTGTGCTCAGTGAACACACCAGTTAGTGATCACAGGGATCATCTGTCATTCTTGGGAGAAAAACAAGGTCATCTGCAAGCAACCAAGTCTCTTATGCCCTGTCCTATCTCTCTGGATTGTACATATTATTTTCTTTTACCTACTAAGCACAGCTTGAGCTACTATGTTGGCACCGTGTTCCTCTGAGGAGTGAGAAAAATAGAAAGATCTCCAGGAAGGACTGTGGTGAGGGTGGAGCAGTGAATCGCAAAGGTTTGAAAGTGTGAAAGTGTTTGGGGATGCTGTGTGAGACAATTGTATAGTTGTGATTCTGAGAATTGTGAGTGCAAGCAGGACATATCACCTGAGGAAGCACACAATCAATCTCACTCTCCATTCTGCCTCATTCTCACCCAACACACAAATACAAATTCACACATACCATACACACATACATACACACATATACACACACAACCATATTCAAATTAACAATAGTAATTCTGAAGACCCACCGTCATGCACATCTCTCACACCTGGGATACACTGTATCTCCGGAATATAGACACTGGATAAAATTATTAATCGGAAGAATATAGCTATTCCCCACAAACATGAAATCTTCTACCCATGAGTAATGTCTCTAGACAAAACAAAACCAATTATCAAAACTTATCTGCACAGATACTTTGTACCAGCTGAAACAGTTCAGAATACTTACTGCCTCGTTGTGTTGCTGAAGCCTAAGATTAAAACATAGAAAAAAACCATGAGATTCATAGGTATGTGTCCCGTGTATATGTTTCACATGTCAACTATTCAATAAATTAATCAGATAAATTCAAAATCTCTCAGCAAGAGTTCATGTGTGGGAAAGACATATGGTAAGTTATGCTTACCATAAAATCCCTGGACATCTCTGATGTGTCATTGAACTCCTCAAGAAACAATTCTTCTATGCAATCTAAAAGACAAAGAGCAACTGTTAGAGCAGTAGTGCAGCTCAACATTTTATTTAGAATTCAAACAAGAGAAATGGATCAACATATGGTGTGATTTGTTAGAAAGTAAGACTTTGGTTGTTAGTGAGCTGTCAGAATCAGGTCATCAAAATCAGAAAAGAAGGTCGGCCCCTCACATTGTAATTCCAGGAGAGTGAAAATGTGTAAATTAAACCATGTGGTTCTAAACTACTGGCTATGAATGATATTATACATGACAGCAGTATCCCTACTCCAGCTATTGTTAAAGTTTTTTTGTGCCACTAACATCTTGATGTCTTCCTCAAATACCTCTGCCTTTGTCATCCAAAAATACTACACCTCTCTATGATGTTTATCTGTTTCTGGCAATGTACTTCAAATTTAAAGTACAGGAGAAAAATTATTCTATGAGCTGACAGGAGAAAAATTATTCTATAGCTCTATCAGATTATTCTGATACTGAGATGATGCATTGCAGTAGATGTAAAATACTAAAATTATCCACTAAAGCAGTCATGATCAAACATCAGATATTCTTACCCTGTCTTTATCAGTAACTCTTTTGATGGGCAGATTTGGAGGACCCTCTGTGCTAGCAGTAGATATCAAGGAAGGATGACATGTTCATAAAGGAGGGTGGCATGGCATGAGCACTTGCACTCTCCTTGCTATACGTGATACATGGAGGTCCATGGACTATCCTACAGCTACCATAGCCACATTGTGAAATGTCTCCATAGGAAGTATTCCAGCACTCACAACACAGTGCAACAATGCAGAAACTATAACCAGTTTTCAAAACTCTTCCACAAGTAGGCAGAAAATAGGAAATGTTCCTTACTTTATGCACAACAGAAAACAGGATTGCAAACATTTTTGTCTAGGCTACAACATTTTCTTCCTTCTCTATCAGGTCCTGCATGACTGGGCAGGAGAGCCACCTGACTCAATTTTCAACTCTCACCAACTCCAGTGATTAAAGGTGCCTTGTAAACACACAGGTACATTGAAAGTTTGTGGAACAGAATGGGATCATTTTCTCTTGACCTTAAGAATGTCATGCCTGCAGTCACATACCAACTACATAACTTATCTCTTGTGCACCCGCTAAAGATGGGAAAGGAGTCGTTCTGAATATTCTTGAGTCAAATAGATTTGGGAATGACGAAAGGCAAGAGTCATCACCAGAAATGCAGAATTTATGTGCTGGAACTAGAACTAGAACTGGAATGAAACAGTCAGCGTTATGGGAGGTCCTCATACTCTGATAATCAAGAGCCCAATTGAGGCCAAATTTCTCTGTGGAGTTTCTGGAGGGTTCTACTATGGGAACAATCTAGGGGAGAGGATCTAGGGTCTGTTCTCAAGGTAAGTTTTCCCTGTCACTAACTCTGCAGTTTCACATAGTTCATCCACCTTCTCCATTCTCTATTTTGGAGATGTCAGTGCCCAATTGCCGTAAGACTTATTTCTTTAATCACCATGGTCTAAGTACTGAGTGTAATGCAATGGGATACTCAGGTATGAGAACTATTATAAGATGGAATTGAGCAAGTAATCAGGATCATAAATGAACAGTTTGGGAATATGGCCATAATTTTTTATTAATTGAAGTACAATTATAATACCTTATATTTCATAATTTAAAGAATACCACTTTTTACTTTCTGTGTCTGGTAGATGTACCTCAGTCATCAGGGAAAAGGTTGGATATGGGTCATGATTGATAAGCTCATGTTTGAGCACATTACATTGCATTACTGAGTGTAATGCAATGGGATACTCAGATATGAGAACTATTATAAGATGGAATTGAGCAAGTAATCAGGATTATAAATGAACAGTTTGGGAATATGGCCATAATTTTTTATTAATTGAAGTATAATTATAATACCTTATATTTCATAATTTAAAGAATACCACTTAAAACAACTGACATACATAATATAGGTAGACATATAATCAGATATTTTGATTGTGAATATTCTATACTAAACTTTCTTTGCTGGCGGTATAGGCCCATAATATCAAATTATGTAGCAAACAATCATGCATATAGAATCAGACTACATGATTGTATATTGAGAGACACACACGCTAAGTGTTCAAAATTTAAAAAATAAAAACTACATAAGTGTTTGCAGAAAAATGATTTGGCTGATATAAAATTAGATTTCTTTTAAAATCAGAGGTGTAAAAGTTGTACAGAATCCAAAATCAGCATAACATGCCTGTAAGATAAGATTTGCCTGTAGAAAAACTTCCCAAATTTTTAAGTTATTGATTCCAGGGTACATACCATCATCCTCTGGGAAGACCAAGTCTTGTTTCTACACAAAAGAAAAGATTAGGAGAATCTGAATGCACACCAAATGTGCACCTTTTTTAATGTAGCATGCTTTCAATGTGACATCACATAACCAGATAAAACTGGGGTGTAGTAAAAGGTCCTACAGAAAGTGGGAAAGACACTAGTAAAAGGATGCTCCTTTCTCTGCACATTTGCCTTGGAAGTGAAATGTTTTAATCCACTCAAGAATATTTTCCATAGACCAGAAAATCCTCTAATTCATCCTTTAGTTCGTCCTTTTTCATCCTTTAATTCATCCTTTAGTTTGGTTGTTGCTCCTGGACAAGTTCTTATGGCAGGCAAGAGTGCAAAACATACTTTCAATTAGCAAGGTCTTTGAATGTACCATCTACATGAAAAATTTCAAATGGGTATCTGAATTTAACTGGAAACTAGTTAAAAACAGTAAGCATATTTATACCTTACCAGGAGAAAGGAAAACTTTCTGGATTAAAAACATTGTTTTCCTCATCCACATGTCACATGAATCTGGTGGATCCTGGGCATCTAAGCTTTTTATGTGCTCAAAGATGAGCTTATCAATCATGACCCATATTCAACCTTTTCCCTGATGACTGAGGTACATCTAACAGACACAGAAAGAAACTCTCTGTTCTTGTGTTTACCTCCCTTGCTCCTTACTCAACCAGGCCATCTGCAGTAATGTTTTCATATGAATGAATGTGCAAAGGAGAAAAGTTAAGAGAACATTTCACTCCAAGGTACGCGTGCTTACATGTTACTAATCTTCACCTTCTTCATCTACCTTGGCTTCAAATGGATCCACAGGCATTGCTAAAGGAAAGAGAGCACCTGTTATTTCACTCTGATACTCAGCATTCCCTGACAGAGCTCCTCTTTAAGGGAATTGTTAATGAATATGCTTGGTGGAAATTAAGCAAACACTGCTCATCCATTCTCTTCATGAGTGGAAGACAAACAGGAGCAGAAAAGAAAAGAGAAATAAAGTCCTCTCAGTTCATTAGAGGAACTCGAACAGAATGGATAGGAGAACCTGGAGGATGTCAACCTCATGTGGTGTTGAAATCACACTATTCTTCCTGAACATATTTTTTAAACTTCTCTAACCCTGTTCATTTTCTGAGTGTGCATTCCAATATGCTGTCTCTATGATTATCATCAGTTTGACAGGTTTTTAGCATTATATTTCATCGAATACACAGGATTCAATGAGTAAATTATTCCATTGTTTATTCACTGATCTGTTGTTATAAAAAAATCCTCAGAGTGAGAAATTACTGAGCATATAAAAATAAATCACTATCAAAAATGTGACATTTATCTCATTTGTCCTCTCTAATATGACTCTAGCGTAAATGGAGCTGGATGAACATCTGTGTGAGGAGTAGAAACCCAGTAAATGGACAGTGTATGAAAGAGGAAGGGCTGGGGTGAGCACAAGAACTTTCTGCCATATTAAAAATTTGAAACCCAGATAGAGGCACCAGTTTCAACATGGAGCACCTGTGTTCTCTTTGAACAATACTGACTAGGGGAATCCAGTCACGATAGAACATAACTAGGGCTTAGAATAACCATGTTATCCAACGTCACCTAAGAGTACCAATACTCACTTTGCAGCTTTCAGTTGTGGGGTTTTTTTGGTTTTTTTTCCTTTTTTTCCAGTTATCGTTACTGATGGAACCCAGTAAGTTGGATAGAAATATCTACTTCTGGAGGTTGGATAGAAAAACCTATTTCTGGTTCCCAGTTCTAAGAATATTGGAACAGGTAAGAAGTTTACATCTTTTGGGTAAATTTACATAAACTATACAGTGATAGATGCCAAATGTAGACAAGTTCTATGAAGGTCTCTGTATAATGGTGAACAGTTTGGGGATCATGTCCAGATAAGCAATTCTGTCAATACTTTAAAAGATGGGTCCAATTTCCATAGTTTCTATCATGCCTTGGTCAGGTTACTTTGTGAGTGTGCTAAGGTGCTATTGACTATCTTAGAAGTTAATCATAGATTTCTCATGTGGGTTAACAGTTTTTATTCTCCACCTTAGAGAAGACAAACTCCTAACAAACATTACTTTTACACTTTCTTTGACAGGGATTCTTAGTTGAAGATCCAACACATGTAACTGATTTAACTGCAGTAATGATAAAGCCAGTATCAATTCTTTTATATCAATGCTAATATCAATGCCAATAGTCAACAATGCCAAGTACACAGCATAAATATTCCAAAGCTATAATCAGTTGTGAAAGGACTTGAGATCAAACAATTTGATTTTGTAGCTGACTGAAAAATTGAACCACTTCTGCAGTGATAAAAGGATTGAGAACCCAAGCCACCAGTTATGGAGAGAAAGAAAGGTGAATTCAGCAAACTTCCTTGAGCAGAGCAGAGACACCTTTTGTCAAAAAGAGCAATCTCTGGCACTCACAAAGAATGACCTACAGTATTGATTTTATTCTTGACGTCAAGCACATGTTTGTTCATTTAAAAGAATTCAAATCATTAAACAGACAATCTTGGACTGCTGTGTGAGATTAAGTAGGCAATAGACAACAGAAAAATGAAAGTACCAACAAAATTACAGATTAAACATGCTGCCTCTGAGTCATGATACACATTCTAAGAATTGAAGTTTATGCTTGTTAGAAACACCAATGTTTATCCCTATCGTTCCCAGCAAATTCAGGATAATCCACAAATAAAGACCAGTTAGAAAAGTCCACATAATTTATCTAGACTCTGTATTTAGAGTGAAAGTCCTTACAGAATACTTACCGGGTTCCTCCTGAGGCATCTGCAATTCCAAAGAAAAAACAACTCTGAGAATCAGACTATATCACATCCTGTTTGCACAGGACTCTTGTTCTTATTTTTATTATTAGCAAAACACCATGCGTTACAGTTGTAGACTTACAAACTTTTGTGCTTGGGTTTCAGTTATACAATGATCAAGTATCCATCTCTCCACCAGTTCCTATTCTCTAGCACTAATGATCCGAGTAGCCCTCCCACCCCATACCCCATCCCCCCACCCCGCCTCACCTCGGTGGAAGGGCATTCCTTTCTGCTCACTCTTTCATTTAGGGTGTTGTAGTTTGCAATAGAGGTGTTGAGTGGCTATCATGTTTGGTCTATAGTCTACATTCAGCAAGCATCTCACATCCTGAGCGAGTCCTCCAAACATCCTTTACATGGTGTTCCCTTCTCTATCTGAGCTGCCTTTTCCCCAACAGGACTCTTATTCTTTTAGAGACTTAAGAAAAGTGACCTGTGAAGTCTTGTTAAGTCTAAGCTTCTAAAGAATCAAGAGGAACTATCTAGAGAAGGTACAGGTGTTTTTTGGATAATGGATCTCTCAAATGTATTGTGATTGTGTGATTGGCAAGTTTAAACTTCTCACTGTCACGGTCACGATCCTCTCCTTGTTCATCGATTTTCTGGAGCGGGCCCAGTAACGTCTCCATCATGAGACTTGTTACTGTGTTTGGCATATTGAATACATCACGGGTAGCTTGGCAGGCTTTGCCATGCGGGCGAGATACTCTCCATAGCTTGCCTGGCTCTCTGAGAGAGGCGGAGGAATCGAACTCGGGTCGGCCATGTTGGCTGCATGCAAGGCAAACGCCCTACCCGCTGTGCTATCACTCCAGCCCTTAAAGTTCTCATTTCAATGAAAAGAAGCTTCTCTTGTAGAAATACACCTGAAAACAGGATAATGGGATCAGTTGTTCTTACCATCCTGAATCAAGCACTGTCTGCTAAAATTCTTTCTCCACAGTAAATGACATCACAGTTTTTCAAATGCATCTGTCTTTCAAATGTTCACTAAAATAAAGACTGCCTAGAGCTCTTTGTTATATCTGACTGATTTAAAAATAATGTAACCATGCCCGAACTTTGATTTGATGACCCTCCTTGATATTTTCTTTGTCAAAATATAAGTAACACATCGTTTTATACCCAGTCACACAAAATTGGTTAAGTTCCCCAGAAAATATCATAACTCCTGTATTCTTAGCCTTTAAAATAAACTCATATGTTGGCAAAGTAATTTTTTAAATATATATCTTAGATTGGGCATTGAATTTATGAAAATTAAACATTTAGCAAATCTGGTATGAAGGGAACATTTGTTGCTTGCGTTATTTTAGGGGCCCCACCTATTATTCAGGGATAATTCTTGGTAGGACTTCAGACACTATATCCTCTGTCACTGTCACTGTCCTCCCATTGTTCAGTGATTTTATCGAGCGGGCCCAGTAACGTCTCCATCGTGAGACTTTGTTGTTACTGTGTTTGGCATATCAAATATGTCACGGGTAGCTTGCCAGGCTCTGCCGTGCGGGCGAGATACTCTCGGTAGCTTGCCGGGCTCTCTGAGCGGGGCGGAGGAATAGAACTAGGGTCGGCCATGTTGGCTGCTTGCAAGGCAAGTGCCATACCCGCTGTGCTATCACTCCAGCCCATATCCTCAGTCAAATAAAAAAAATTGAGCTCATTAGGAATGGATTTTAGATGTAGAAGAATTAGTAAAGCTGGAAAGGTGCCTGCCTTGTACACAGTCAACCAGGTTCAAACACCATGTAAATGGTGCTTTGGGTGCTGCCATTAGCAAGGAGTAAGCCAGGTTTGGCCCAATCTAATAACATAAAATGATTATCAGTGATAAAAAAAGCCAATAAAATCAAGTTTCTATTTTATTGAATTCTCACTTACCACAAGGATCCGTGGATACCCAATTTCTCTATATTCTGGAGTCTCTTCAGCTTCCTTCATCACGTTAGTGGTAAAATGGACACACGATAAGGTCAAGTAGTGTGGGGATGCTTCCCAGGAAAGGCAGAGTATTGTCCTGGGATTAAACAAGTATCTAAACTGTGTCAGATTGGTAAACAAGTGTAGATGGAGCTTCTGTTGAAGCAGAATTCAGACTTGCCTGACACTGGAAAGAGGATAGTTTCAGTAACATTGTCACAATCATTTTAACATTTATCACTTTGTAGTTGTTCTTTATTTCATTATTTGTTTTTTGGGTCAACAACTGTCAGCCCTTACTCTGTCCTACCCTTCACCATTCCTGGCTCTGGGGAGCATTTATGGTGGAAGGATGACACACTCAGAAAGATCATTTCTGCCTGATATCAATTTAATGTGGAGTCTAAATTATAATTCTAAGTGGAGTTGATTCATTAAAAAAAGTGACAGACAAAGAAAAAAGCAGTCAAAATAGATTGCTTTATAGGGTATGGAAGGGGTAAAGAAAATACCTTGCCATAAGACCACAAGGTGGTAATCCACACAAAATATAAATGTATGAAGTAATATTTCCATAAAATCCTAAAAGTTTACTGCAAAAGCTTATATTATTTATATAAAATACTGTATATAATATATATCATATCTGTATGTATTCATTACGTTTTGACCTCAATCAGGACAGTTTACAAGGAAACCAAAAGTACAAAATTTACCAAAACTGTTGGGCTTGGATTTTAGAAATTGATAGACACGACAATGGAGAAACGTATGGGTAAAGTAAAAGGAGACAGAATAGAGTCAAATGGGCAATGATCAGGGGCCTTGAAAACAGCAATGGAGTAGAGCTGTGGCAGCTGTATATATCTAAAGCACAGAGATATCAGGACTGAAGCATGAGACACAAACTATGGTAATGTACCTATAAAATATATCTGCTATGGTGGCATAGTTGAGAGATTAAAGGAAAACGTGGGAATATTGGTGCAGGGCAGTTGACTCTGGATCATGGTTGGTGTCGAAAAAAAATTGTCTGAAAATTTAGTATGGATATTTATATTTATACATTATTTATGGTATTAATATTTATATTTTTGTATTATATATATTTAATTTATAATCATAAATCACAATACATTAAATTAAAAAAATGAATTTGAGAAAATAAGGAAACAGTGCCCTTTATATTTTAAAAAAGTAGAAGTATAGTAAGGGACAGTACCACAGAGGAGGTAAAAGAATATCCTGTGGACAATTACCATTCTTTAGAAAAGACACTATAGAAACAACAAAGACATAGGGTCTGGAGGAAGAATCTGAGCAAAGAGGAATATTCACATTCTCACCCAATTTTTACCTCTGCATTTTAGCACATATTCTAGGCAGTTTATGGTTGTTAGAAACAACCTGTTAATCCCTACTATCCCAGCAGATTCAAGGTGGCTCCCACACTGAGGCCAGCAAGAAATTGCCACATGACTTATCTGGACTGTGTCCACAGTTTCAAAATGGTTGCAGAATACTTACCAGGTTTCTCGGGTTCCTCCTCAGGCACCTGCAATTCCAGATAAGAAGCAACTGTTAGAATTAATTACATTTATCCTGTTTGTCTCCTGGAGCCCCAAGAAAATAAGATGAGAAAGCATGTTAAGTTCAAGCTTCTAAGCAGCAAAGGGACCTACCTAGAGAAGGGACAAGCATTTCTTGGGTAATGGATCTTTAAAATGTGTTGAATTTGGCAAGTTTAATATTATCATCTCAATGAAAAGAAATTTCTTTTGGTAAAGAACCCTAAGCACATGAATCAAAGTAATGGGACCAGCTTAGTTTTCATCTTAAATCAACTATCCCCTGCTAAAATTCTACTCTCCATAAGAAAATTATGCCATAGTCTTTCTAATACAGCATCAGTCATTCCTATCTTCACTGAAATAAATATTGCCTAGTGTTTCTGATATACTGAAGATATTCCAAAAATAATGGGTCCAATTTGATGTCTTTACTCAAAATTTCTTTGTAAAGAGTAAGTAACACATCATTTTATATTTAATAACTTAAAGTTCCATAAATTTCAAGAAAATATCTTGTATTTAAATATCTTATGAAATACACCTGTATTCTTAGCAATTATTTATTAAACTCATATATTAATAAAATATTTTATCAAATATATTTTTAGATTGGACATTCAACTATCATGTAAATTAAGCATTTAATAAATTAGTTATAAAGGAAAAGGGTATTTTTTTAAACTTTAGGGGCCCCACCCAGTACTCAGGGATCCTACTTGGCAGGACTTCAGAGACCTTATGCAGTGTCAAAGAAAATATTTTAAAACATTGGAAATGGATCTTAGATGTAGTAGAGCTAGTAGAGCTGGCAAGTGCCTGCCTTGTACATAGCCAACCCACGTTCAAACCTTTGCAATATAAATTCTTTCTTGAGCACTTCATGGAACAATATTTGAGCACACAAATAGCAATAAGCCAGCGTGGACCAGTCTGTTGCACAAAATGGTTTTACGTGGTCTAAATAAAATAAAAAAATTAAACCAGTAAAAATCGAATTTTAGAGAATACTGACTTACCCCAAGAATCTGGGGCTGCCCAACTTCTCTGTATTCTGTATATGTCTCATCTTCCTCTTTCACTGCTGGTAAGAAAGACAGAGTAAATGTCAGTAGTGTGGGGATACTTCTCGGTAACGGTGGAGTTGTGTCTGGATTTGAACAAATATCTCTTGTTTGTGGATTGGTTATTAATTGTGTACTTAGGTGCTGTCGATGCAGCATTCAGAATTTCTTCATTTTGGAAAGAGGATACATAATAAAGAAGTGTCAAAAAAATGAGTGTGACTTTCTAGGAAAATGCAAATGATACAACAGGAAATAGTTAAGAGAAGAGTTCCTAGCAGCACAACATAAAACTATGAGCTGTACATAGTCTGTACATTGGTTGTGGTGTTCCTTTTCCTGAGTATTTAAGTGATGATATAATACTTGATCCAATGAAACATTCATATTTATAGCATATTTTCATGATCTATTTTTGAGATCATTAAACCAGTGGGCTGGAGCGATAGCACAGCGGTAGGGCATTTGCCTTGCATGCAGCCAACATGGCTGACCTGAGTTCGATTCCTCCGCCCCTCTCGGAGAGCCCGGCAAGCTACCGAGAGTATCTCGCCCGCAGGGCAGAGCCTGGCAAGCTACCTGTGATGTATTCGATATCCTAAACACAGTAACAACAAAGTCTCCAATGGAGATGTTACTGGGCCTGCTCGAGCAAATTGATGAACAACAGGAAGACAGTGACAGTAACAGTGATTAAACCAGAATCACTACCATGACGAGACAAACTGAGGACTGTATATATCAAAGAATAAAGACATGCTACAATGATAGAGAACCTCAATTGTGGGCATTGACAAACCACTTGTCTCTGGTGTTGTGAGTGATCCCCAATACTCGAAAAATCATTTTAATAGACAATTACAGAGTTTTGAAACAGCTTGAAAAATAGATTCCCCTAGATTCGACCAACTGAATTCTACTTAATGTTACAGGACATGAGACTTAAATAAAGACTTAACTTTACTATTTTGCTAAAGGCATAAAAGTGTTGGGAACTACTTTGAGAGGACATCAGAAGTAAAAACTGTGATGAGTCGAAGAGACAATTGAAGCGGTTATGATGCTTTCCTTAAATTCGGCAGACTCAGGTGTGTTCTGCAACAATGACTATCTCTACCAGAAATTCTTAGTCTGGCACCACACCCGCAAGAAGGATTATGAAATAAAACCATAAGCACTCATAATAAATCAAAAAAAATTAAAGCAAATAAATAGGACTTGTCCAATCCCTTACTCTGTCTTCAGATCTCACTATTCTTGATTCCAGGGACTGTTTGTTGTGCCAGAGATTGAACCTGGTAGTTGTGTCAAGGGCAAGCACCTTAACCTCTACTATCTCCTCAGTCCTTCATTTTCTGTTTAATATAAACAGTTACTTCTAGTCTGCCTCTTCCTTCCCCATCCCTGAATTTGCCAAATTTAGAAGAGATTTATCAGCCTACCTTTTTAAAAAACAAATAAAGTTTCCCATCACAGGGACACCAAAAGATCAGAAGCAAGCTATGCTCCTGTCGCCAGCCTCAACCATCAACAGATGAGCAGTTGAGACAAAATGTGGAATTTATATCATCACAATCACCTTGGTGACAAGGCACCTGCACTCCCAGAATGTTGACTTTCTAAAGATGCTCCAACTGCCACTGTCTCTACAAACATGTGTTTGTTTGGTCAACTGTAGTATCAACAACAAAGCTCTTTTTTTGCCAATAGTAATTTTTCTTCATCACTAGTAATCTAAACATAGCTACATGAGATTCATATAACCCCAAATTAAACTATTTTAATTTGGTCATAATTTTTCCCTGAGCTCATTATCAGAAAATAAGCAATTTCAGCGATGGGAGTGTCTGGTTTTTAAAATTTTTTATGATTATCACACTGTGATTTACACAGTTATTCACAGTTAAGTTCCAGGTATAAAATATTTCGTCAGCCATACCATGTTCACTCACATATTGCACAGTTTCCCTCTCACCTCTCAGTCTGCTTCCTTCAGAGGTTCATATTTAAACTTAATCCTCTGATTTGTAGATTTGTGGCTTATTGATTCTGTGGTTCATATATGTACGTAGATATGATACCTCTAAACTTCCGATGAGTGTAATCACCTGTTACCTTCTATTGGCCCTTTTACTCACCACCAACCTCTATTTCTTACCAAAGATCTGTTTTGAAATGCTCCCAATTTACCCAGTTTTGCTTGGTGATAAGTATACATCAGTTACTCTTTCAGGCTGAACAATATGGATGATATTATTCATCTGTTGTTGAATAGTTGATGGGTCTTCTTTCAGAACCCACCCACATGGGACATATTCTGTACTTTATGTTGTCTTAACATGATAATTACAGTGTTAAGTAAGAAACTGGATTTTATACCTGAGTGTTTCTTCTTTGCGGTGTTGGGGACTCAGGAAACAATAAAAAGTGTCTATGAAACCTAAAGTTGGTTTTTCAAAAGAATAATTATTTGGCAAACTTTTAGCTATAGTCATGATAGAGAGGGCTGGAGCGATAGCACAGTGGTAGGGTGTTTGCCCTGTACGCAACGGACATGGCCAACCCGAGTTCGATTTTTCCGCCCCTGTTGGAGAGCCCGGCAAGCTACTGCGAGTATCTCACCCGCATAGCAAAGCCTCACAAGGTACCCATTACGTATTTGATATGCCAAACACAGTAACAACAAGTCTCACGATGGAGACGTTACTGGGCCTGCTCGAGCAAAATCGATCAACAAAGGGAGGACAGTGACAATGAATACAATTATTTCGAAAAAGGTTTTACTTCTAAACTAGAGTATCTAGACAAAATGGATAGAATATTGGAATCACACACCACCCTTCAGAATGAATCAAGAGGAAGCAGAAAACCAGAACAATGATGGGAGCTGGAGAAAATACAGGGGGTAACATGCTTGCCTTGCATATGATCATTCCTGGTTTAATCTTCAGCACCACTTATGGTTCCTGGAGCACTGCCAATATCAATCCCTGAATACAAACTAGGAGGAATTCTGAGCACAGTTAGGTATTGTCTCTAAACACACCAAAACCAATAATTAAATTGAAAAAATTATTAAAAATTTACCCGCCCCCCCCCCCCCCCCAATAAAGAGCCCAACTAATGGCAAGGAAACTGGTGAATTTTAGCAATCCTTTAACTTTTTGTCCTCTATGCTTTCCCCTTTTGTCTTACTCTGCTAACTGATGTCTGGGGTACCAACAAGAATCGCAAATAGCTTTGTGTGATATTCCTTCTGGGCCTGAACTCAGCAGCTCACACACCTTCCTACCTTGTCCCTGGGGACATATTCTACTCATTGTGTTGGAAAGAGTGTTTATCTGAAGGGATAGCTACAGGTTTCAGACCTAGATAAAGATAAGAAATGTTCCAAGACACTCTAGTTTCAAGACAAAAAGCTATATACAAAGAAAATTGTGTTGGAACATTGTGTGCCTGATACAACTCTATTATAAACAATCTTGTAAATCATAGTGCCTTAATAAAAATTTCAAGAAAATAATATTCACTTACCAGTTGTAATTCCACAGACATTTGTGAAGTGAATGTGTTTTGAGCTTGTTACTCATTAGTTATTTTTCCTGAGACTCAAAATATTCAATTGATGATTACTAATAATAAATTACTTTGGTCTATTTATTCATTTATATATTTTTTTTACTTTGGTCTATTTAGTTTGTGTCTAAATTGCTTTAAAATTGAAGGATCTAGGGGGCTGGTTGTTAGTACAGTGGGCAGAACGTTTATTTACACATAAAGAGATAACCCAACTTCTGTCTCTGGACCCGCATTTGGTCCCTGAGCACTACTAGGAATGATCTCTGAGCGCAGAGCCCCGAGTGTATCTTGAAAACCACCAGTGTGCCCTTCCCCCCCAAAAAAAGTAAATAATTAACTATCAAGAATAAATACATTTGAAAAGTCTATTTCAAGAGTCTGAGTAGGTCAAGTTGTCTCATGTTCCCAAATACTTGAGTCCCAGTGCAATCACCGTAGTCCCAGATCCAACTGCATTAGCCAGGTTCTTCCTCAGGTTGACAAGCAGCCCATTACTAAAGAAATAATCTGAATCTGACAAAAGGATTTAAAAAAAAAGTCTGACAGACTTTTCCAATGCTTTAAAGGTCAGTGGCAGAATTTTATTTTGAAATCAAAGAACTTTCATACTCAGGCTCTATTGATGGTCCCTGGTGGACTGACACTTATCTCTGAGAGTACTTTACTCTTGAAGTCAAGCCATTTCATAATGTTTAGTTTTGTCTTCACTTTCTCGTTTAGATGGACTAAGTGCATTTTGAGAGCATGAGATGCAGAATTTTTCTCTTCACTTGCCTGTCTTTATGTCTGATTTTCACTCATATGCAAACACACACACACACACACACACACACATACACACACACACACTGCCGAATTTCACTTTCATTTTTCACTTGACTGGGGGAGTAGACACACCCAGCTGTTTTTAGAGATGATTTCTGGTGGGGTTGGGACATTGTATGTGGTGCAAAGAAAGTGGGTCAGACATGTGTTACTCAAGTATCTTAATCCTTCTACTAACTTTTTGGTGACTACATTAATAATTTTAATATGTTGTGATCAAGAAAACATTTTGTGTGACTTCACAATTTATTGTTAATTTTTTATGTCTAAGTCTATGTCCACCCTTAAGTATTCTCTGTATATACACTTAAATTTTTTTTCACAGAATCTGGTTGTTTTATTGTTTATATATATATTTATATATATTTAAAATGAATAATGTTTTGAATTTTCAAATTGATGTTTTGAGTTCTTCAACTTTTCTCAACACTTGCTGCTCCAGAGTCCCTCCAGTTGTTTGTGGGGCAGCTGCTGTCCCTTCTGATATAGTGTCATCACTTCCTCATCCCAGGTATCTGAGGGGATTTCAGACACTAGATAGACAATCTCTGACTCTGAGTGGCCCCTGACTCATGCTGGTCTTCTTGTTATCCCTTTACTCTTGTCGTTTGATGAA